GTTATTTCAATATATATGAATCTGCCTAAACAAATAATTGGTACTTGTTTTTAATTATTTAAACTTCCCATTCGAAAATTATAATATAGTATATACGAAAATTGATATAATTTCCACCCTTTGGCTACTATTACTTGAATGGAAAGGCCTATAGTGTGATATCAACTATCAACACGATTCTTTAAAAAAAATAAAGTATTTCATGCAGGGCAATATTTGCATTAAAGCGATGCTTCAAATTAAAATTGGGTTCTGGTCCTGGAATAACAACTTCGTAAGTCATTCTGGTATTGTCAATTTATTGTTCTTTCTGAACGACTGTTATTTCATATTTAATGTCTATCATTGAATATTCAGATGAATTTCATTAAGAAAATCATATAAACCAGCAATTCTTTTCATAACTTCGGAAAACTTTTCCATGTGGTAATTTATTATTGATCTAAGTAATATTGTATAAAGGGAGTAATAATAATTACTATAATGACTGGTATTGCAAATTCATATTAAAATATCCGTAGTTATTAATACAATGGATATTGTTACCTCATCATTTTGTATCCAGAACAGCTTTTAAAAGGAATCCAAAGATTTTGGGCGGATCAGTATCTTATTAATTTGAATGGTTAGTACACTAAGTGTTTGGTTAATGAACTACAAACATCTGACAATTTTATACAGTGTCTGTAAGAGATCGATTTTCACGAACGATCTTGGATAATGTATGAATCTGTTTCACTGCAAATACTGCGACAGCGACAGTTATATTGTAAACGCATCTTCTCAATGACATGTCATAAAGAAGACAGGAGTTAAGCCATCACTAGGAATATCATATTGTCTTAAACTACTTATTACTGTCAATGTCATAGTTAATGTTTGTAAGATGAGAGAAATTTCAAAAGGTTTTTCTTCGCTAGAAAAAGTTGCATGCAATTAACCCTCTGCGTTCCTGAACAATTTTAAGCCTTCTTCTGCCTGAGGTTCTCAGTCAAAATTCTTAAATAATTTCCATCTAATGCTTCCCGTTATATATAAAAATAGTTACAAGTGTTTACCCGCCGTTCAATCAGTGGTTGGTCATTAAGTCGATTTTTTTTTTGTCTTCCATTGTTTAACCGGTGGCTGTGTATTACATCATTTTTCTCTACCACTGTTCAGCCGGGGGTTGAACAGTGGTAGGTAAAAGAGCCATTAACGCCATGTTTTTCACTACCACCGGTAATGTGGTGGTCAAAGCTCAAACGGTTAATATGTGTATATAGATGTGTCTAACAGTGTGTGTATCTCAGTATGCATGCGCACATATGTGTATCCGTGTGTTGGAGAATGACGTGATGGCATTAGTCATTTTTTACATGTCTTCAATTGGTTAATGTCTTTACTTTGAGTTAGTTTTCTTTTCCTCCTCTCTCTAATCAATTTGAGGAGTTATTTTATATCGGCCCTAAAAAAAGCCATGCGGTATTTGTACTACTATATCTGCGTGATATTTAGAGATTCTTGATAAAATCCAAAGAAGAATCTGCAATCTTAATGGTCATGACCCGGCATCTCAGCTTCAGTCTCTTTTCTACAGGTGTAACGTAGCTTCCCTGTGCCTTTCCTATAAATAATTTCATGGTAATTGTTCTGATGAAATTTCCTCTATGGTACCTAACTTTATGAATTTCAGCGCAGTACTACATTGGCAGCAAGACTTCATAGTTTTACAGTTGAAATGGCTAGATGAAACCGCATGTTCTATGCTGACAGTTTCTTCTATTGCACTTGTCGCTTTTGAGACTTTTGTAGGAATCTATCTACTCGGATTTTGCGTTAAGCAACAAAATTTAGAATTTAACGCAGTAAAACTAATTTTTATATTAATTATAAACTTAATTATATACTTATTAATTTTAAGCATGAGAAGCATTTTCAGTCAACAATTAAAATATTAAAACCCGCCTACAAAATATTTATAAACCAATAATATTTGAAACATCAAGTATCGTTACTGGGACTGCCCGTAATTCAGCAGTTTATCCAGTGATTTTCAGTCAAAAAATAAAATTCAACAGGAAAAGACAACGTCGTATTAACAAATAATATTAATTTTATATGTAGCAACAAGAATACAAGAAGTTGGTTGAATGTAGTTTGTTCTTGCATATAATATAATATAATAATATGTATTGCGTACGTATGTGAGAACGGCGAAATGTGGTTACATGTGTGTTTGTGTGAAAGAGTCACTATACGCATGCTTGCAGAGCAGTAACGTGGATAAAAGAGATAGGTAGAATTTAGTTCTTACTGCGGACGATGGCGCCGTAGTCTGAGGCGGTCTCTTTGTAGTTTAGTCAGTGCTGCTGAGTTGAGCGTTGCTTTTGCGTGTAGATGTGAATGAGGGTCTTGAATATCAGCAGCTAGAGTGCCGTGGACTTTGGTGGCATTTGTGAGTATTATTTTTTTTATTTTTGGGGGTGGGGGTCGTAGTTCGTATTTTTTTATATTTTTTTCCTCTAAGGAATCGGCTCTAGAATTATATTATTTATTCCTAATTGGCCCGAAAAAGCCACGTGGTATTTTTTACTACTATATCCAAACGATATTTTGGCAGTATCTCCCTAAATTATGATGATTAATAAAGCAACCTTTATGATTTATATTCTATGGTTTTGTATTGTACAGTTTAATTGGTGTGTTTGAAGATGTAAGTACTTTATTGTGCGTTATTGGTTTATAAATATTTTGTAGGTGTGTTTTAATGTTTATGCAGTTACTGTTGGCTGAAAATGCTTCTCATGTTTAAAATTAATAAGTTTATTATTAAGTTAATAATTAAAATAAAACTTAGTTTTATTGTGTGAAATATGTTCCATATTTTATTATATATTTTATTGGACACAACAAAGTCTCCCTTCAGATCATTAAAAATTTATTTCTAATGATATGTAAGAAACAATTTAATATCTTAGATAGGTTTTGTAATTTTTGGCCAATGTACATATCTCCCGGATTTTGATTTATCATTCTTCTGTGGTATTGTTTTTAGTGGGGTGTCGTCTGCTTTTCTGGATATTTGCTCATTCATCTTTTGAGTAATATTTGTATCTGGATCTTCATGTCTCTCTGTAGCTGTTGTGAGAATTGGTTATTGATATAAGCCGGTTTAATTCGATCTTATAATTCAATCTATAGCAATATTATCATGTTTTTCATTTTCATAATAGTGAAATACTTCTTTCTGCTCATGAATATGCAAAGTCATGAGCAGAAAGGAGAAGTATTTCACATGATTAGTTTTAACATAAAAGTTTTTTACGCTTGCATTTCTTATAAATATATATATGCAGGTGCAAATGTCATTTGGTAGATATTTTTTTTTGTTTGTTTTCTGTGTATGTGTAAAGGTTAATGGTGACATTTTGTGTTTCACTTCCTGTAAAAACGTTGTTGTAGGCACGGTGGAGTAATGGATAACGCCTTGGATTGAGGAATCCATTAGATTCACTTAAGTTCTAATACCCTTAGAAAAGGTATGAATCTTCTTCTTCTCTCACCCCAGCTATGGATAAATAGCAGGGCAGACCACATTCTATACCCTTGCCTGACAACTGGTCTACCGGAGAAAGAAATGGAAACCTACTGCGGGAAAAATTTGCCTCGTCAAAGATACATGATCGCTTAAGTGTATATCATGTATGGCACAGAACTGACTGAGGTAAAATATTCGAGTTCTCGTCACACTATTGATCTGGTAGAGTTAACGATGTACCGAAAACCATTTTAGCTGGTATACAACCAAAGTTCTATATAATAATGTTTCTGATTGATAAAATTACCAGTGGTAAATTCTCTACCCAATCAGTTTTGTTTGATCGCTAACGATGCATTTAACTGTCTGTGGAAACATTCTACGATCCTGTTTTCACGAATTCCGAGTAGGTGATTGAAATCTCTAAATAATGTAGACTGACACTGAGTTCCTCTGTCTGTTGTGAATATTGAAGGTACTCCAGATATTGCAATCCACTTAGTATGAATAGTTTTAGATATTGTTATGGCTGTGACATCTTTGATTGCTTTTGCAGCGGGCCAGAGGGGGACTTTGTCGCGTCCACTAAAAAATCTAATAAAATATGCAACATATTTCACCGAATTAAATTAATAAATCTATAATTAAGTTTATAATTAACATAATAATTAGTGTTATTGTGTGAAATATGTTGCATATTTTATTAGATAATTTAGTAGAAACGATACACACTTCCGGTCCCTTGCTACCCGTCAATATTTATCTTCAAAACATTCAATGCAATGCCAATCGTTATCTTCTGTCTTCTTAATTATTTATAATTTAGAGTTTTCTCTCTTTAACAGTAGTTTATTTTTCATATCTCTAACACTCAGTAACCTGTTGCGTCCTAATGGCTTTATTGCCTTGCTTGAGGTGAAATGATTAAAAACAATAATGCATAGATATAGAGAAAGACATATTCAAATAGATAGATAGATTGATAGATAAATGGATATGACCAGATTTGCATAGATACAGAGTGGGATGGCTAATTTGTCGCCATTTTATATGTTTTATTTTGCGCATGTTATATGTTTTATATGCTTTATTTCGCGTTTTTTTTTATTTTGTCGTGGTTGGAGCCAATAGCGATTTTATTGAATAAATTTAGTCTTTAGCATTTCATGATATTTTTGTAATATTATAGCTGTCAAAATGAGATGTCAGTGTTATTTTCATTTTTGCGTAATTTAGGCGACAATTTGTACATCGCACCCTGTAATATAGAAAATAAAATACATTCGGATATATATATATATATATATATATATATATATAGATAGATAGATAGATAGATAGATAGATAGATAGATAGATATGAACAGATTTGCATTGGCACATAGAGAATATATTGGGATAGATAGATAGATAGATAGATAGATGTGCATAGGCATATAGAAAATATATGGGATACAAAATGAGATGATAGATAGATAGATTAGATAGATAGATTCAGATTTTTGGCACATAGAGAATATTTGGGATAGATAGATAGATAGATAGATAGATTTGCATAGGCATATAGAAAATATATGGGATACATAGATAGATAGATAGATAGATAGATAGATAGATAGATAGATAGATATGAACAGCTTTCATAGGCATATAGAAAACAAATTGGGATAGATAGATAGATAGATAGATAGATATAGATAGATAGATAGATAGATAGATAGATTTGCATTGGCATATAGAAAATATATGGGATATATAGATAGATAGATAGATAGATATGAACAGCTTTGCATAGGCATATAGAAAACATATTGGGATAGATAGATAGATAGATAGATAGATAGATAGATAGATAGATAGATAGATAGATATTTGCATGCATAGGCATATAGAAAATATATGGGATAGATAGATAGATAGATAGATATGAACAGCTTTGCACAGGCATATAGAAAACATATTGGGATAGATAGATAGATAGATAGATAGATAGATAGATAGATAGATAGATTTGCATAGGCATATAGAAAATATATGGGATAGATAATAGATAGATAGATAGATAGATAGATAGATAGATAGATAGATAGATATGAACAGCTTTGCACAGGCATATAGAAAACATATTGGGATAGATAGATAGATAGATAGATAGATAGATAGATAGATAGATAGATAGATAGATAGATAGATAGATTTGCATAGGCATATAGAAAATATATTGGGATAGATAGATAGATAGATAGATTTGCATAGGCATATAGAAAATATATTGGGATAGATAGATAGATAGATTTGCATAGGCATATAGAAAATATATTGGGATAGATAGATAGATAGATAGATAGATAGATAGATAGATAGATAGATAGATAGATAGATAGATAGATTTGCATAGGCATATAGAAAATATATTGGGATAGATAGATAGATAGATAGATAGATAGATATAGAGATAGATAGATAGATAGATAGATAGATTTGCATAGGCATATAGAAAGTATATTGGGATAGATAGATAGATAGATAGATAGATAGATAGATAGATAGATAGATAGATTTGCATAGGTATATGGAAGATATATTGGGATAGATAGATAGATAGATAGATAGATAGATAGATAGATAGATAGATAGATTTGCATAGGCATATAGAAAATATATGAGATAGATAGATAGATAGATAGATAGATAGATAGATAGATAGATAGATTTTCATAGGCATATAGAAAATATATTGGGATAGATAGATAGATAGATAGATTTGCATAGGCATATAGAAAACATATTGGGATAGATAGATAGATAGATAGATAGATAGATAGATAGATAGATAGATAGATAGATTTGCATAGGCATATAGAAAATATATTGGGATAGATAGATAGATAGATAGATAGATAGATAGATAGATAGATAGATAGATAGATAGATAGATTTGCATAGGCATATAGAAAATATATTGGGATAGATAGATAGATAGATAGATAGATAGATAGATAGATAGATAGATAGATAGATTTGCATAGGCATATAGAAAATATATTGGGATAGATAGATAAATAGATAAATAGATAGATAGATAATGAACAGACTGGGATAGATAGATAGATAGATAGATAGATAGATAGATAGATAGATAGATAGATAGATAGATAGATAGATGTGGCTGCCATTCCACTTCTGCTTATATCGTGTTAATCTCCCATCTTTTCTGCCGTTAAACTTATTCATTGAAAAGTAGTCAGGTGGCATTAGGTGTAAACTGGCGGAATTACTTTGGCACCAGAAGCGTCTGGAAGACTCTAAACTCCTGTCCAACCTCGCAGACAGCCTGATGTTTATCCTGCTGCATTTCACTTTTCCTTCTCATATACTTGATAACATCAATTTCATCTGGATTCTTGCTTTTCTTTTTTTTTATTTGTCACTTTTCCTTTTCCTCTTTCTTCTTTCATATTTTTTACTTTCAATCACCTCGGTTTTTCCAATGGAGTTTATGTTTTTGCCATTTTCTTGTCCTCTTTGTGAATTTCAACAATAAGTGTTTAAAGAAATGACTGGATTTTTGTAAAATTCTATTGTCACGTTGGCCCAGTGCAATAAAACCACTGTCCGCTCTGTTGGCTAAAGAGATGTCTATTGTTTCAACATTTGTTTATGTGTATAAATTGTCGTCTAAATTACGCAAAAAAAAGGAAACTAACACTCATTTTAAAAGATATATTTACCAAAACGACACAAAAACATCTTGAAATACTAAAGAGTAAATTTATTCAATAAAATCGCCATTGGCTTGAACCACGGCCTCCAGACGACTTCGAAATCTTCTGCAACTCTTCTGGGCGGTTTCCAGAATTGAGTCGGTGAATCCTTGCCTTCAGTTCATCTTTGGTATTCAAGGAGTTTTGTTGGTTTTTTGCTCAACTGCGCTCCACACATAATAATTAGGGGGTGCAGTCTGGGGAGTTAGCTGGTCATATGTAATGAGTGATATGATCGCAGAAATTGCCTGACATCCATGACTGGGTTAACCTACTTGTGTGGCATGGTGCAGTGTCATGTTGCCAGACATAGGGTCTTCTAACAGCCACGCTCTTGATCCAGGACAGCACTACCTCTTCAGGGCACTTTATGTAGGCCTCCGTATTGAGTAATCTCATTTCTGAAGCTGAATGGAGGCATAATGTCGCCATTACAAGTGATCACTCCAAACACCTTGGTAATCACCATCAGACTCATCCAACTCTTTCAGAATCCTCCTCACTGCCCTCAAACTGACACCCAATCACATTGAAACGTTCGCATTGGAGCTTCCAGTACGAATACCGATTCGAAATTTCTGGCTGAGTAGATAGCGTCATGGTAGTCTTTTTCTCACAGATGATGTCCAAAATGACCCTAGTATACTGTGCCGTCGACATAAAGAAAACAAACAACGCGCATACATGAAATAAAAATATAAAATAATGACAATTTGCTCATTATCCTATATATATATATTATATATATATATATATATATATATATATATATATATATATATATATATATATATATATATATATATATATATATATATATATATATATATATATATATATATATATATATATATATATATATATATATATATATATATATATATATATATATATATATATATATATATATATATATATATATATATATATATATATATATATATATATATATATATATATTTTAAATATTTGGAAATTTTATACTGATCATACTTTTTATACTTTTTAAAAATTTTTTTTTCGAAAACGTTTTAACAACATCGCCCACGTGACGACTACGTGATCATATTTAAACGGAACGCTGATCTTGTATAAAATTTCAGTTATCTGTTTGAATTAGTTGGGCTCTTATGTCCATCGTCTTTTGTGTTAAATTGTTATAAGTTCTAATGTTAATTATGTTTAAATGAAAATGTCCATGAAGATGGCCTTAAATAGACCGAAACGTCCGACGTCGACTTTATATTAACATTAATACTACATAATTGCATATTCAGATTTTTGTTTGTTTTTTCTGTATTTTTTTTTTATATATATATATATATATATATATATATATATATATATATATATATGTATGTGGAAGAGGTTATAGTTGTTCCAATTATAATTATAATAAGACAGTACGTATGGAGAGGGAATATACATATACATACAAGCAGAAACGCACACACAATAGGCAAAAATGAAAATAGATCTAAGAACATACTGGGAGTCATTAAAAGTTAAGAATACAGATATCTTTCCACACCCTCTCTCGGACCAATGTTAATCGTTTTATTACTCTTTAAGGAGAAGAACCTTCTTACCACCAGTTCAAGAAAGACATTTGTGTCACTACTACTCCCAAAAGGAGAAAATTTAACATCGAAAACCATGAGGAAAATTTATTCATTTTAATAATATGTGGAAATATTCACTTAATGCCTGAAGAAGGTCGTGAGACCGGAATCGCGTGTAGCAAAATTACGGAAAATAAAATATATTTAAAAAAAAATCCACATTTTAACCAAAAACAGTTGCGGCTACTCTATTCTTGTTAATACATATATATATATATATATATATATATATATATATATATATATATATATATATATATATTGCTGATTTTTTTTATATATAAAACAGTTTTATTCAGTTTAAAGTTAGACCTGTCCGGAAATGGTAACATAAAAGTGTGGCCAATACACAATGTAAAAAAAGTAAAAACGAATGTGAAGAGTTATTAAATATCAAATTCAAGGAATACTAACAACTCATGCCGCACTGGGTATGACAATAAACTGCATCAGCGTCCTGGGTAAGAGACAATAAACTACGTCCAACAGGATGTGCATTTAACTATTCCAACAGTAAAAGGGTGGAACCTAAAGCCAATCTAGTAGCACGCTTAAATTCATGGATTTTGAACAACAGAGAAAAGAAGCTCATCAGAGCCACTGCCATGAAAATATTTCTAGTAAACACAGAGGGAAGTCACATCACGTCGGAGAGACAGTGACTGATGACGAGATGCCAAGTAACGATGTATTACATTGCAGATCCTTCTTTGGGTTTTGTTTGCTCACAGTTAAAATTAGTCCTCATTATGAGTCCTTTAAAATATTTGTTTAGTTCGTGCCTACATGTAGTGCAGCCGTAGTTTGTCTGCTATTAAAGAGTTTTAAAAGAATCGGGTTTCATTATTTAATATTACTTCGGCTAAATTACTTAATATCGATCTTGGAATATGCTATGACACCTATGTTATCTGGCGTCGAAATGTTCCGGCAATTGGTCAAATGTTAGATCTTCTTCAAAGACTTGATGCGCTTGAAATCCATCGTTTATTGGTTCGTTGAACCCCCACCCAGAGCCTATTCATAGCCTGCATTTTAGCAGCAGGATGTATGAAACCTTAGTTTTTCACGGCTTATTAATTCTATAGCCCAGCCCTTAAGCTAAAGACAATCGGAAGTATGAACTTGTCCGGTGGTGTGTTAACATGCAACTACCACTAATAATTGACTGAAAAAAAACGGCAAGATAAGGTATCAATCTTAGCTATGAGCAGTGTTCCACCAATTTCTGTCTCTCCCTGTAGTTTCGGATTAATATACTTTTGGCTTTCAAATAGCAAGAGCAGAACTATCTGACAATCTCACTGTGGTAATTACTTTATCTTACAGGACTTAAGTTTACGAGAATAATTAAACTATTAACAATTAATCTTTCCTGTATTTAATTATTTAATTGTAATAATCAATCAGATGAATTGATTTGTTTTATGAAATGTTAATGATTGTTTCTTTTGGTTTTTTTTGTTTTGTTTTTTTTTTTGGTTTTTGCATCAAACTTTTTATTTTGTCATCGGAAGGTTTCGTTCCAAATCGACCCTGTACCCATGCCGGAATTTACCTATTCTAAACAATGCTCCTCTTGAATGACACCGTGCGCCCACAATATATTTACGTATTATGGTAGAATTACGCCCTTGATTAAATGCGTGAATAAGCAGATAAGCAGTGTACTGCATTCGAAGCATTAAACAAATTATAGATGCTTCATTTATTTCCGAAAAGATGGGTTTTACATGTGGTCAAGGAACAAATCTGTTGTCTATGGTGCTATAAAATATGTTGAAAAACTCCTGTTGCATTCACCCAGAAAACAGCGATATCCATGACAGTATTTGATGTGGGTAACTGAAAAAAATTAGGATATATTAAAGGATTAGTAATACATGCCCAAATGCCCCCTTGCTCCGTTCAAAACAATGTTGGATTTCGTGAAGGATTCTAGTTAGAAATCAGTTAATATCTTAATTCAACATTAATGTGAAGTTGCTTTCCACTACTACTAATACCTTATCAACCATTGCGACCAGCTAGATGGTTATGTTAATACGACATCGATGGTTGTATAATTTCTATTATAGAAACATAGTCCAAGGCGGAAGGGGTCGAGACTACCAGCTATGTGTTCACGATCAAGGGAAGCCCATCTTGAAGGGGGAATTTGGCTTTGATCATAATTAGAGAGAGGTGGTATCCGCCATCGTCTTTTTACCGAAAATTTTGTAAAATGACCACACCTATTTGGCCGTGGCTCAGTCTAAAAGGGACCGCGTAAATCGTCAATCATAAGGGCGAAGTTGACTCATGCGACTGGTTGAAATATCAGTGGAAGTGAGAACATCGCAATTGCCAGTTGGAGTGTGGGACTACTGGTTCAACCAGGATAAGTATAGGTACTTGTAAATGAACTGAAACAGTATGCCCAGCACATTTTAGAATGCTGTGGATTCAAATGCCTGAGCATAAATAAGCATAAGTTAGAACAACACGTTCTTTACGAACACATCAATCGCGTAGGCTCCCTTATCGACAAGGTCGTAAAGAACTATATCTGTCCAATAACCAGTATTATTATCATCAACTTTGGGGTATAGCTCTTCAGCATCTACATTGTACTGTGTTCCGACCTAAGATTTTAATGACAAGTAAGTGAAAGAATTCTAAACACAGCGACTGGAAGGTACTGACAAAGAGGACAATAATATGCTAATAATTCAAATACACTGGAATTTTTAATACTGATTCCCTAAATGACAGTAAACAAAACTCCGCAAGTCTATTGCTAGTCACATGCCAACTCTTCAGACGAGCGAAATTCTTCAGTTTCACACAGTTTAGGCCTTCACAACTGAGACCTGTAATGGCCCGTGTACAGGTTCAAATCATCTTAATTCCGTTTGAATTCATTAGTAAGTAGGACGGTCAAATCAGCGTGTTCATGAGAACTAATTTTCATGAACAAAAGGCCGAGTGGATGCATCCATGATAATTACAAATTTAATCTTTTTAATTATAAAGTTGTTGTGTCGGAAACCTACCACCGCTCTTGAAGATGAACTTGTCTGCGTCTGTGAACAAAGACTTTAAATAGTGGCATGTCAGTTGACATGGGGAAGATAGATAGACAGAGAAGTTCTTAGCTGAGCTAGTTATTGACTACTCAGGCGATTTCTGTACCTTTTTACCAACCTATTAAAACCCTTTTTATTGTTACGTGTTATTTGGCGTTTGTCTCTACTAACCCCAAATCAACATCATAACAAAAGTCAATAGTTATTTATCCTACATATCCTCGTAACCAGCTCTTATTATCTCCTGTTACGTTGATACAACAAACTCAATGAGTTACACTCTACTTTGTGTAGCATTTGGGATTTGTATTGTTTGAACGCTTAGTAAATTTATTTATTTTGGAAGACTTACTGTTGTCAAATTTGTAATGCCATCATTACCGAACAAGTGTTAGGTTTGGTGGATTTTCATAGTTTCAGAAAAATGGTTCTGGCCAATTCTTTTGGTGGAATAAATGCTTTATGGTGTTGAACAGAGCACAAACCCGGTAGATTCTCTCGCAGCCAGACTGATTACATATGAACGCATTTTATTTGCAAGTAGCATATCAGATCAGGGAATATTAGAACGTTAACTCGTTCAAAAAAGTGGCAGAGACCATAATCAGTGCTGAAGAACCAAGCTCAAGGAAAACAGTAGACCGAAGAATGCCAGAATTTAATCCAACATTGAAGCAACGAGAATGTCTTCATCGCTCTTCATACTTGATGAAGTGATGACCTCCACCTTCAGCAGCGTAATGAAGGAACAGACAAAGCACGAAGAAAGCCATCAAGGACTGTATCAAAGAACTGACACGGAAAGCCAATGGGATTCGATCAAAGAGTGATACCGAAGAATGCTTGAATAATGACAACAGTAGAAGGACAGTTTAAGTTATGAAAGATATGGCAAACAAAAGACATTCAACTAGCAAAGTTAAGCAAGCTCAAGCATGGTCACTACCGAGATGGGTGACTGAAATTCCAGGTTGCGGAATCTTAGATTCATGGGTGGTGTAATGGATTTGCTCGGAATTGTTAATTGGAAACCTGAGTTCCAATTCAAGTCGTGCTTGTTATATTTATTTAAGCGCAATAACCCTTGTATTACATTGTAGAAGAGACATTACAGAAGAAACATAGCTGAAGAAACATTGCAAAAGAGACATTACAGAAGAAACATTTCCGAAAAACATTGCAGAAGAAACAATGCAGACTATACATTACCGAATAAGCATTACAGTAGAGACATTACACAAGAGAGATTGCTGAAAAATCATACCTTAAGAAACATAGAAAAAGAGACACTACAGATGAAACATTGCTGAAAAAACATTGCAGAAGTAACATTAAAGAAGATGCCTTACCGAATAAGAATTTCAGTAGAGACAGTAGAGACATTACAGAAGAGACATTGCTGAAAAATCATAGCTGAAGAAACATTACAGAAGAAACATTACCGGAAAACGTTGCAGAAGAAACACTGTAGAAGTTACATTACAGAAGAAACATTAGAAATATTACAGAGGAAACATTGATGAAAAAACATTGCTTAAGAAACATTACAGAAGATACATTACAGAAAAAACATTGCTTAAGAAACATTACAGAAGATACATTACAGAAAAAACATTGCTTAAGAAACATTACAGAAGATACATTACAGAAAAAACATTGCTTAAGAAACATTACAGAAGATACATTACCAAATAAGCATTACAGTTGGGATATTACAGAATAGACATTGCTGAAAAATCATAGCTTAAGAAACACTGTAAAAGAAACATTACAGAAGAAACATTGCAGAAGAAACATTGCAGAAGTTACATTGTAGGAGAAACATTAGAAATATTACAGAGGAATTATTGCTGAAAAAACATTGCAGAAGAAACATTACACAAGATACATTATCGAATAAGCATTACAGTAGAGACATAAGAGAAGAACCATTGCTGAAAACCATAGCTTAAGAAACATTGCAAGAGAGACATTATAAAAAAAAACATTGCCGAAGAAACATTGCAGAAGAAACACGGCAGAAGTTACGTTACAGAAAGAACATTAGAAACATTACAGAAGAAACATTGCTAAAAAATCATTGTAAAAGAAACATTGCGCAAGAAAAATCACAGAAGAAACATTACCGAATAAGTGTTACAGTAGAGACATTACAGAAGAAACATTGCTGAAAAATCATAGTTTAAAGAAACATTGCAAAAGAGGCATTACAGAAGAAGCATTGCAGAAGAGACATCACAGAAGAAACATTATTGAAGAAACATTGCAGATAGAAACATTGCAGAACATACATTACAGAAGAAACATTTCAGCAGCGAGATTACAGAAAAAAACATTACAGTAGAGATATTACAGAAGAAACATTGCTGATGAAACATTGCAAAAAAAAAGCACTGTGCTTGGGAAATTACAATAGTGACATTACAGAAGAAATATTGCAGAAGAAGCTGATCTCCACAATGGAAAAACACTGGACTGAATTTCAAACTCCTTTTTCTCTATAATAAATATAATTAATACCAACAATAATAACAAGATTTCAATTACATCATGATCGAAATCAAGAAAACAATGCATTGCGAGCAACCATGGATAAATACAGCATGTCCGAGATTCATATCAACACGGCCCTACAGCTGTTCGCAAAAGTCAAAGACTACAGCGCTCGCTTAAGGAATGTCGCATCAGTTGGGATCCGTAGCTGCTGTTTATTATATCCTATACTATTTAACATCTTGCTGAGATATAAAATGACTGATGCCCTGGAATGATAGACTGGCATTTTAAAAATCGCGGACGTACCATACTCTAGCCCTCATTTCACTACTGCTTGTAAATTCCTAGAATCGAAAATGAAGAATATCTTGTGTTCATCTCTCTGTGCTCTAAATCCGACATTCAATGTTTCAGCTATAATTATACGGCCTTATTCCTTTTCTATCTCTGAATCCTTGGCACTGTCATCTAAAGATGTTTTCTTTCCGTTCATTTGTAGTAATAATCATCTTGGAAATATTGAAAATTATTACTTTAATTATTGACTAGTATTAATTTCACTTTAATTTAAGTTGTATTTCCTCGAAGCTTATCAAGGCTTCATTACAGGTTATTGCCAACGATTTTTATTTATTTAAGAGCTTCATTGTATATTAGCGGTCGTAGAATGACGATCAGAAAAATTGTCAAGAAAAGCAACCAGGAATAAATAAGAAACAATCATGAATTGATTTTGATTGCTTTCTACTTCAAAACCCCTTTCTAACAGACAAAACTTTACAAGATTCTCGCTAGTTTATCGCTATTTCCATGGAAAGCGTTCCTCCAATTATAACTCTCCTAAGTTAAGAACAGCTACATTGAGGCAATTCACCCTGATTTTCTTTATATTGCTTTAGTAAGAGGCAAGTTCCACTCGGATAGATTCTTCCAAAGAACTGTTGCTTCATGTAACAGAATCCCAGGAGGATGATTTACAAACCTCTACAAGTATATATTTCCCTCATAAAAGCTTAAACTCTCTGCGACCATTAATCTTACCGCTCACACAACAACCACCATGAGTGTGCCTTAGGCCTTGAATAGAGGAAACATTAGTAAATAAGAAAGGAAAAACTTCCTCAATGTATTACTCTCCTTTTTCTGCATATTATTCTGACTAGTATCGTTATCTTGACTGTTTTCCGACAAGTTTTTACTTTTTTTATTAATGTTTCTGATGCATCTGCGAATGTACATAGATTACCCAATAATTTTTCTCTTTATATCTCTTATACAGTGGTTTCACAGTGGAGGCTTGTATTTGTACTAAGTCGGTCCTAAAATAGGTTCGGCGTACAAAACATTAGGAACTTAATATAGTAAGTAATGACGCAGAGAAATCTAGTTGGGGTCGCTGATACTTTAGTATCCGACTAACGGTCGTCCGACATCGACTGGCTGACAAACTCACTGAGCGACTTCACTCGTTACTCTTACTACTCCTACTTATTATAGGTGGGAGAGTCTATTAACTATAGAATAGGCGTGTTCCACTATAACAATATCGTAATTAAAATCTCCTTGGATTTTGATATACGAATCCAATATGTTCAGTTGCTCTTAGCTGGAATGAAATGCCGAGCAAAATATCTAATGTTCGTCAGATACAGCCATGGTTTGAGGAATGTCGTAGAACATAGCGAATGAATTATTTTAAAACAAAACAAAGAATGTCGATCTAAAGAAATATCAAAAGTATCAATGCAATAAAATGCAGTATACACAAGCTAAAATCAGTACGTTGGCTAAGATGACGTTTTAATTCATTTTAAATTGTGATATGAAAGTGGGCTGGTAAGTTCATAGAAAGACTATGAAGGAGTTGTGTTAAAGCTGTGAACACGTGCATGCATTAATTTCAACTCTTCTTATTAATAAATCTATTTCTAGGTAAATTGCATCTGGAAATTCCAAGAAGACTCTTCATCTATTTGGTCAAAAAGTCATCATCAGCAGATATGACTACTTGTATAATTTACATTATTAGAACTGTTCGCCTCATCTTCATTGGTATATTCACAACGTTTCGGTCGTTGTATGCTCCGGCCTTCTTCAGGTGATTGGAATTTTGAACTGGACCATTTCGTCCACCGAGGTCAATTGTTCTCAAGGACACATAGTCTAGGGGATAAAGACGTTGATTAGATCCAGTGACTAGACCCAAAGAGTTATGGATTCAATACCAGGCCATAGAAGATGTGAACCAAAACTTAGATAGTTGAGTTAAAGCGAAATAACTGAGATACCCGGAAAAGGCATGGAACGTAGAACTAGAAAAATCTACCCCGGTGGACGAAATAAAAGGGTTCGGTTCGAAATTGCAATCACATAAAGAAACGGTCGAAACGTTGTGTATATGGCAATGAAGATACGGATAACAGTCCGAATAAAGTAAATATTACAAGCAAGCACTTATGACGTCATCACTACTTGGATAATCGTTTCCAGCCATGTGTTTCTCATGTTAGAGTACAGATGCTAATCAAATCTAAAGAAGAGGGAGGGTGATCAATCAGTTCAAAACCAGAGTCACCCATATTAGCCGTTGAAACCAAGGAACTGAAGCATTTTCTGCATGAAACAAGTCATCTTTCATCAGTTTTCCTCCATGTTTGGTTTTGATAGGCTTTCGTAAGTACCTCTACACGTTAACACAGTACCCGCGATTTGTGTTCTGGCACATTTGACCATTGTCAGTAGCCACAATGCCGTTTGCGTCCTAAGGAAACTGAGAACATCAACTTCGCTGCAAATGAAACGGCCTTGCTCATCAATGAAACAAGTGATCTGTAGACTTTCTACTGCATGGATTGTCTTTTTTCTCTGGCCCAAAGTGATGGATACAACTCTCATCATGGGTTAGGAAACGTTGAAGGAAATCAGCTGGATCTGCTCAAACAATGTCAGATATGATCAACCGGGTGCGCATTTGATTAGGTGTCAGAAGACGTGGCACCCACCGAACAGAGATCGTTGGGTAGAATATTCTCAACTCTATTCTAATAGCAT